TAATTTTTTTCATCTGCTTTTGATACAATAATCTAGGAACCATCTTTCAAATTTTTAAGCTTTTTTAGTCAACAAATAACATTTTATCGATATTTATAGAAAAAAAACTAAAAATTATGGAAACTGAAAATGTAATTAAAGAGCTCAAAATAAGTCAAAATATTTGGAAAATGTTATGGTGCATAAAAAATCCTAATATAAACTTTCAGTCAAAATTGTATGTACCTACGGTCATTTGTTTAAAAATTGCACCAAAATCCCAAATCGATTTTTTCGAAAACAGATTTTGCGTAAAAATTCCCGTTTTTCCTTAATTTTTCTTTTGTTTTTCACGGCGCTTTTGAAAACTATTGGGAAATTTTTACTTTTGACCCCCCAAAGTACCAACTAGATTCACTTTCCTATCAGAAAAGATACTGTTGAAGAAAATTCAAGCACTTTTACTAGTTTTACTGTCCCAAAGGTGATGACAGGCACAAAAAAAAAAAAATTTAAAAATTTAAAAAAAACACACATCATTGTAATATCAATACATTCATCGTTTCACTCAGAATCTAAAAAAACACACATCATTGTAAAAACAATATACATTCATCGTTTCACTCAGAATCTAAAAAAACACACATCATTGTAAAATCAATACATTCATCGTCCACTCAGAATCTAATATGGGATACTGTAAATGTCCATTGTCCGTATACAGTTCAAAACACATCAAAATATTTTGAAAATTGTATCGTGTATAGAAAATGCTAATATAAGCAACCAGTGAACATTTCATGTATACGGTCATTTGTTTTAGAGTTACACCTAACATCAATATCCGATTTGGTCGAAAACCAATTTTGCGTAAAAATTCCCGACTTTCCTTAATTATTTCTTTGTTTTTCCGGGCGCTTTTGAAAATTACTGGGCATTTTTACCTCCCCAATACACCAACTAGATTCACTTTCCCATCGAACAATATACTGAAATTGAAAATCGAAGCATTATTTCGTCTACTTATCGTGTACACAGACACAAATAAAAAAAAAACACACATCATTGTAAAATCAATACATTCATCGGAGCCGTTCAGAATCAAGAAAACGTTACAGGAAATTAACATTTTATGATAGTTTGAATTTAAAATTAGTTTGACACGTATATTAACGAATTCCCATTAATCGATTTTTGATATTTTGTTGTAATTCAAAAACGAATAACCACTGCAGAAACTTGAAATTTTCAGCAAATATTTTTAATTAAATTTTACATAGGTACATGGTGAAATCCTCATACTCGTTCTAATAATTCCTCAATTTATCATGCATCAAATCATTTGTCAAGTTATTCAATACTTAAAAATCTTAAATACTCTTGTTTACATTATATTATGAAGTTTAATCAATATTTATATAAAAAATTACTTTAAGCAATGTTGCGACATTTAAACTAATATTTTTTTGAATTATTCTTTTCAATTAATCACTATTGAAAGGCTGTGTCCGTCATACTGATACGAACGTGGCAAACTCATTTAAAAATTTGGAACTTGCCTGTGCGGGTAATGCATTCTCAATAGCCATTAAAGTAGGCAAGATAATCAACTCCAAGTAATTCTCAAATTATTAATGACATAATTCAGTTTAAGTATTGAGTGTTCGGTCGTCTAGTACTTTAGTAACTATAACTTATAAGGTAGACAGTAATCCAGAATGATTATTTACTATAAACAACTAATTAATACGTCGGAAATGACCATGAAATCGTGAAATATTATATTTGTACAATACCATTGGTACGCCACAAATTTGATAATTATGTCGAAAAAAAAGGTGTTACATGCTAAATCTTGTGATACCTAAGAAACAAAGAACGAGGAGCACCATATATTATTTGAGTGTCCGATTTACAGCATAATATGCAACTGATGTAACATTTACACAACTGTTGAGTCCCGATAACTTTTACTACATAAATATCGTTAACATTAACCTTATTTCATTTAGGTAAGTACGTACAATTTTTGGACACAAAGAACGCCTAAGCGAAATTGTTTAAAAAATGTGAATTCATTACGTGTTATAAAATAATAAGTACCATTTAATTTATCGCTGTTACGAACGGTGATTCACGACCTTTGTCCATTAGATAATTATGCCAAGTTCTTCCAATACAATAATAAATGTGTACAATAAAAATAAAGCATGGAGACGGGGTGGCCGAAAGGTCTCGATTCCAGGTGTCACGGGCGGCCTTTTTCTTCGGACAAGTCACGGTGTCCGGAGAACAAGTGCCGCCATCCCCCCCTCCCATCGGGGCATGGCAGAAACCTATTGTGTCCCATTAGAAATTCTGCCAAAACGCAACCTACACGTGTACCAACATACCCAATCTAAAATCCTACAGTTCCCTCCCCACAACCAATGGCCTATGATGCCATGGCTATCCAATACAAAAATAAAATAAAAATAAAGTTGATAAAAAAGAAGTATTATAGCTCGTCCAAATAAATTTACTCCAAGTTTTATAGTTTTTTTTTGTTAAAACCAAACTGATGAATAAAATGAATAATTCTACTAATGATAGTTTGCCAGATCAGACCAGCCAGAGAAACAATTCAAGCACCTTGCGAATGACTCTTCAGATCCTTTCAAAATTAAAATTAATAGGTAAATATAATTTATATTTTATGTAATCACTTTGAAGTACTAATGCCAACAGAATATAACAGCAAACCTCGGGGATATTTTCCGAAAAATTGTGAAATTGCTTTGGTATAAAAACAAAGATCGTTTCTGTAAATTGTCTATAATATTATCTACAATAATTAGTAGGTAATTATAAAACAAAATCAATTTTTCTTGGCTTTCTAGTTAATTCATCTATAATTTCTTCTGGAGTAAGAGATATATCTTTATTTAAGTCCCATAATGTTAAACCATTTAAACGTTCCTATAAAAAAAAAAAAAGTTTAGTTAAATGTAATTAAATATTATTAATATATATAATAATATTATAAAAATATACATATATCTCAATCATTTAATTTCTGTTGTTCACATTTTTTTAATGTTGAAAAGGATCTTACTGGTGTAGCAGTTAAAACTGGTAGTAGGTAATAGGTATACATAATGTTTAATTCATGTATATTTTGGCAAATGAATTATGATAAAAGAACATAATTGAAGAGCATCTAATGCAGTTTTTATAATTTCATTACTTTTAATAATCTTAATTCGCCAGATTCTTAACTCGGCCAAACTGTAGTCTGCGTCTGTCGTCTGTGTGTGGATAGTAAAATGCAGTAAAATGTTGAAATGATAATTGTTCTTCTTCGGTTAGATTATGTTTTCTTTGAAAAAATTGTCTCGAAACCGGTTTTTATTTTAAAATTAATAATGGAAGTTTGATGATTTTATGCCAGTATAATGTGTAGTGTAATAAATACTAATGTAGATGATATATTTATATTAATACTGCTAATACCTATTAGAACCGGTATGTGATTATTATATTATTATAATATGTAATCTAGTATATTAAAATGTTTGTTTGGTGTTCGCTGCGTTTCTGAGATTAAGTTTCTATATTCATTTTTTTGCGTTAAGTAAGCACCGTAGTTCGTATTTATTTTTTTAAATCTATTTAGGTTCCATAGAAATATTGGTAAGGGAAAGTCTGATCAGAAGAATTTTATTTTACCACTTGAATAATTTAAAGTTATACATAAACATCGTAGTACAGGCAAATTATAATATGGTATTTGTTTACAATAAAGATATTTTTGATGAGAAATATTTTGTCTCTGTGATATTTTTGGAGGAGACATTTTTATTAGAGATATTTTGATAATTTGACTTTATTCTAAGTACAGAATTTTCTGAAGTTATATTATAACTTACCGTGTATTAGCAAAATGTTGGAATATAATATTAACGGGACCCGTTTACTACGGAATTGATGTATCTGTATTGTCTATATATTACGCCGTGTAACACTTATGTTAAAATTAAAATAAACTAATTTAAAATATTTATAATTCTATGCTTCGTATTGCAATGAACATTGAAACATGAATACATAGTTCTATTATGTCGAAATATGTTTATGTGTAGATAATAAATAACTAATATTTTTTTTTTTTGGTCAATTACATGGCCACGCGAAGGATGACAGGTTTCTCTTTTTACGATATATATCAACATTAAAATCTTAAAAATTAAAAATTAAATTTTTATATTGAAAAAAAGAAAAAGGATGGTCAAAACTAATTAAAACCCATAATACGTAAAACTAAATCCATAATGTGCAACATTATAAAAACCTTAAAATTATAATATCAAGAAATTCGGTAAAAATATTCCAAATAAAAAATAGAATTTAATAAATTATGTAAAATATAATTCTATTGTATATAAGGGGGAGGACTCCGTTGTTAAAACCAACCATAACCCACCCAATATCAGATACACCTAATCTTTTCCAAAGCTAACCTCGAAATCTCTCCATCCCAACATACCTAAACATACTTTCCCAAATGATACTGCAAATGACACTGCAAATCAATCTAAATCTAACTTAGCTACACAACTATCCTCTTTTATTTCTGAATTAAAATTAATAATAAATCCACTCATATCGTTACTTTAAACTGTAATAAATAAACTTATTATTTTTTATAATATAAACTATTTATTATAATATAAATTAAATCAATGTCAACTAAAAAAAACCAAATTTAAACATACTGAAAAGATTTGCTAACCTAAAATAATTTCACGTTAGTTCCATCACTGGTTGGCCTCTCTCTTCATATTATTCAAGTTAAAATTATTGTATATAAATTATCAAATTTACTAATTGTGCTGTCAATCACAGATTGTAAATATCTAATAAAAATAAATAAATAAATACAAAAAAAAAAAATTTAATCAGAAAACACAAATATGGATACCTATATAAATTCCAGGTGGCACTCATGATGATGTTTAAATACGAATGAACATTCAAACATTTTACACTAAACAACATATTCCCGCATACCTGTGAATAAAATAAAATATATACCATTATTACTTAATAGATATTTATAATATAAATTATTCAGTAATATAGTAATATACATTATACAGAATAATTGATCTCGATATTAAATGAAAAATTTAAATACACACAATACTAAACCATAAGTTAACGTTTAAAGTTTTAAATATATTTTTATTCTCTAATCACATGACATTTCACTACCAATTCTATGAATAATTCTTGGTGTCCCACTTTTACTTTGTCCCGTTTTAAAAAACTTAATTTGATGATATTGAATTTATTCTAAAACTAAAAACTAATTACGCTTAAGTGTAAATGCAATTTGAAAAAGAAAATTAGTTGGTAGAATCGAGTATAAGTGTTTTTACAAAATATTAAATTACTTAAGCCAACGAATTGCAGATACTTCCTATACATAGCAAATGTTTACAATACAAAATAAATACATAATGATAATAGGTACACCGCACGAATAATATTGTACTTACAATGTTTCTATTGGACAAAACAGTGAAAGGTATGTATCAAATGAGTTCAGGATTGAAGCCACAACGCAGTCTTTTAAATGTTTACAATTACCATGGATTTGGTCGGGTGTTGTACAATTTTGATATGATTGACCACTCTAAACAAATATTAAATAATAAACGCACAACACAAATTTGTAATAATATTATTAAACAAGACTATCTATACTAGTCACGATTACGGTTCACTCACGGTGTTCAATGATACTTGGTAAACTATATTAGTTGAGTTCAATGTAATAGAATCTCTCAACCATGCTAGTTCTTTGATATCGTGCAACGATGTAGAATTAGATTCGCCTGTTATCATAGCGGGAGAATCAACAGCCGAGGTTGTTGTGGTTTCATATATATCCTCAACATCATTTCTTGACATATATGACGATCGAAATTGTGCAGAATTGAATGCAAAATCTTCAGATTCGTCTATGACAGCATTAACTTTTAACATACTTTTAGGTCTGAAGTAGCTAAATCCTAAAATAAATTGTTATTACCTATACTAAATACATTGCATTTGGGATCTTGAACTTAATTAACGTTAACGAATGGACTTTTTATGTTATTACCTGATATTAAATGTCCTTGTGATAGTAAATAAGTAGATTGTGCTGGTGTAGGAAGTCCTTGTAGAAATTTTGGTTGATGATTGTAGCCTGGGCCAGGTTTAACTTAAATAATGTATTAAAAAAATTAACGTTAATGTTGGTAAAACATTTTAAGTGTAAATATTTTTACTACCCACAACTAATTGAAAAGCTGAAACAAATATATCAAAATAATCTACCAAGGGGAAAAATCATAAGCTGTCATCGCTTAGTTAGGTTAGGTTAGGTTAGGTTAGGTTGTAAATCCATGTTTCATATTTTATCCCTTTATTGATTCAGTAACAATGAGTTTTGTACAAAATTTGAAATCTTATGTTTTGTTTATAATAAAAGTAAGTATTTTATTTGACTATTTTGTTTTATTTCTACAGCTCATGTCTCGTATACAGTAACCTCACAGCAAAATTCATAACAGTAAGAAATATTTAATTGATATTAAGTCTCCCACCTCCCAAGACTATTACAATTAATTATCAACTATTAATTATTATTATTAGGTAATTAAAGCGATGATTTAAAACTATTAAATCAACTTAACGACATAATAATAATAATAATAATAATCATCTACACAATAAAATTATTTACCTTATAATACCTATATCATTTTATTTAAAATTTTTTTTTAGATTCTAAGTGGAAGGATGAATGTATTGATTTTTAAATAATGTGTGTTTTTTATTTATTTGTTTATTTATTTTTTCTATTTTTTTTTATTTTTGTGTCTATCATCATTTATCACCTTTTAGGACAGTAAAAGTGCTTTGACTGGTTTTCTTCAACAGTATCTTTTCTGATAGGAAAGTGAATCTAGTTGGTACTTTGGGTTGTCAAAAGTAAAAATGTTCCAGTAGTTTTCAAATGCACCTTGAAAAACATAAGAAAACTTAAGGAAAAACAGGAATTTATACACAAAATCTGTTTTTGAAAAAATCGATTTTGGTTTTTGGTGAAACTCTTAAACAAATGACCGTAGGTACATAAAATTTTGACTGAATGTTTATATTAGCATTTTCTATACACCATAACAATTTCCAAATATTTTGACTTATTTTGAACTCTTTACGGACATTTTCAGTTTCAATTTTTTTTAGTTATTTTTTTCTATAAATATCGATAAAATGTTATTTGTTGGTTGAAAAAGCTTAAAAATTTAATAGAAGATTCCTAGTTTATTGTTTCAGAAGCAGATGAAATAAATTAAAAATCCATAGTCAGTTTTATAAGCATTTGAAGTTCAAATATTGACAAAATACGTAAAAATGAAGAAAATTTCCAAATTATTTAAAGTAAAAAATTCATAAAAAATTTTCTTTTTAAATCTATGATATGAAAATGGATTAATCATAAGTTTGTCTACATTTATCAAAAAAAAAAAATGTCTACAAGAAAGTCAAATTAAATTTTTATGAGTGTTTGAAATTCATGTTTTTACAACATTTAAGCATTTTCTATACACCATACAATTTTGAAAATATTTTGACTCTTTTTGTTAACAGAAATTTTCAGTTCTCACTTTTTTTAGTTTTTTTTCTATAAATATCAATAAAGTGTTTTCTGTTGGGCCAAAAAGCGTGAAAATTGAATGCAAGGCTCCTGATATATTGTTACAAAAGCAGTTGAAAAATATTAAAAATACATAGGCACAATTTTTTATTATTAGCATTTAAAGTTCAAATTTTAACAAAATTGATCACATTTGAAATTTAATAATAATTTTGTAGTTAAAAATGTATAAAATGTTCAACATTATAGCTAAGGATTGAAAATTTAAAACAAGATTCCACGTAAATAGGTTATATATAAATTACTTTATTCACCTTAGTCTCATCAAATACTTTAATACTATTGCTTCGTGATATCATAGGCTGACTAACCGTTTTCGCTCAGAACCGTTTTTCTTATACAATGATATTATGTCATTGAATTTAATTTTAATATCATCCTTTATACAGTGACCCACTCGTAACATACTATTTTTTCATTTTTTTTTATCTTTATTTTTAAGTCATTCAAATTTGGTATCTTTTTATCTAGTCCTGATTCTGCATTCATTGTTGTTTTAGATTTTATCAACTATAAGAATGCTTATATATTGTTTATTCTACTGCCCCATGCCTCTATTATTTAATGTTAAGTTTCATCCTAGGCATATGACCGTAACATTATAAATAAATAAACTAAAGTGTAATAAACTAGTGGTAGTGGCAAATGAAACAAATTTTCCACCACTCCTCCCAAATCACGTGACCCAAAAATAATATATTTTAAAAGTTAATGTAATTTTAATTTACAATGGTACCTACCAATAAATTCATCATTAAGTGGTTTGATTTTCTCTGTAGCCACCAATGTAGTTGTATCGTTAGGTTTGACAACGACTAAGGACGTTAGCGGAGTAACAAATGAATACTAAAAAGCAGGTACACATAAATACATAAATATATATTATATAAATAATTATAACGCAACTTATGTAGTTACAAATATAGATTTATAAATACTTACTTCTAATGCTAGTTCGAGAGCCTTAGCTTTTTCCGCAGAATTTTCGTTCTTGTTTAATTCATATTTATCCATCAGTTGTTGTATGATCAAATACGCCCATAATTTCTCTAAATGACCTGTTGTTAGTTTACAACAAATATAACTTATAAGTAAGTTGTTTATGAAACTAAACACACGCGCAATGCACAAATACATTGTGTACAGCAGTCACAAAAATACAATTAATTACCTATTCTTCTTGTTTGTGGAAATGAGTCGGGAGGAACGATTGGGAAACCAAAACATGAGATAGGAACATTGAAATCCCCTTCAATCGAATCGGCTTTCAAAGTGCCGTTAAAATCGGGCAATGCGCCTTCCTTCAATTTCCCGGCCACTATTAATTCTGTACCTTTAAATAATAGGTCAAATGATTTTTTTGTCACAGTAATGTTGTCGACCTGTAAGTTGTACATGTACATTAGGTATATAATTTATAAAACAAGTCCTTAATCACTGCAGTGTAGGCGTATTTTTACTTGAGCGTCAATGTATTGGAAAGTGACGTTGGACAAGACTGGTGAAGATATTTCTTTATAAAAATTATGCAATTGTAACGACGCGTCTGAAGCTTCGTAAATGACTCTTGTGAAACCAGCGTTGTTCAATGAAAGTTTTTTAAGGAATTCAATATCCGCCCCTTTGCCAAATCCCAAACTATATATCGGATATCTAATAATAACAATATTTGTATTATTATTTTACCAATAAATTATATTTTGTCAACGTCCTGCAGATGATGACCTGCTGCAGTTATTAATATTACGAGAAATGTCTTATACTACAGCAGTAATTACAAATCAACAGTTATTAACTCACTTATCCACGTTAGTATCAGAAACATATTTAATCAATTCCTGGGGATTAGTAATCCCTTCGTTCATTTCGCCGTCTGTCAGAAACACAATAATAGGTTTGGGTGTTTTAGCACCATCTTTGAAATGCATTTTGCTCAATTTGGTGATCGAAAGAGCTTTGTTCAGAGCATCTTCCATATTTGTGCCTAGTAAAATAATACACATTTACAAGTTACAACAGTCAATCTACAATTTTTCATGTGGGTTGTTATATGAATTTTAATATGTCTTATCCCTATATTGGGTCTTACTGCTATCCGATGTCAAGGCCTGAATGAATTTCTTGGCATATTGTATATTCTGCTCGTTTGCAGGAAAAATAAAACGGTTTTCTCCCATTGTCTCCAAATTAAAATTATTAAAGTTGCTGCCTCTATCGCCCCAGTAATTCGACGTTTTTTGAGTAGTGTTTATTGTCCAAACCTATTACACGAAAGTTTCACTGACAATACTTAATAGTTACCAGCAAACAATATATAATTCTGGATATAAGAAAATGGCACGTTTACCTGAGCCACACTTGAAAAAAGTATCAACGTGAAAAAGTCTTCAGAATCAATTTCTGATAGAATTTGACTCATAGCTTCTTTCAGTTGTGTTAACTTCTGTCCATCCATAGAGCCACTAACGTCAAGTACAAATATTACGTGAGTCTTAAGTGGTTTCAAATCTGTAGGTGCAAAGAAATGAACAAAATATCCATCGTCGATCTAAAAGTTATAGCGTGGATTACAAAATCATTATAATCAATAGGTATACCAAAATTTATTTTTGTGAATACAATTATAATAATAATAGTAAACCTCTTGAATACATGAATTATAAGTAATTTTTCATGAATTTTATTTATTTACAAACAATTTAAATGATCTTAATTTGGAATGCATTTATAATAGTATCAACATTTTATTTGAATATTTTTGGATTTTATCATACACCATGTTATTAAAATAATCTCACTCTTGAACTTTGTATCTACCTTTTTTTTACCTCTATAAATATGTTAAATAAAAATTAATTGTACCAACATTATAGCAATTTAACTAAATAATTAATAATGGTTTTGTAATCAAATTAACAAAATTATTTTCGGTCTTATAAGTGGACTATTTATTAAAATGTATTTCTAAAAATAAATAGAATATAGAAACAAGATTATATTAGTATATGAAATTAAAAATGAATGTTTCGGTTTAAAGAAATACAATTTATCACTACTCATGATTAAATAAAAATATTCTGCCAACATATTGAGTTTGTGACTGCGTGAGTACCAAAATAATATGTAGAACAAATTATAGTGACGCACAATAACTGATGTATTGAGCGTCTGAATCAATAACAGGGAAGCAGGGAAAGTATTCTGGGACCACTGGGTAAATAAAGTTTTCGGAAGCTTTAATTAAAGACATCTTACTTTAAAGACGGGCCTCTCACTATACGCCTTCTCCCTAGCGCCAATCTTTCGGAATGTCGAAACATTGTTATCGAATTTCAAAAAGATAAATTGTTAAACAAACAAAAGAGATAAGACCGTATCTATATCAAAGATCATTAAGTGTTGTTTTGCCTCAATTTGAAATAATGATAAAGAATTATTTTCCAATACATTATAGTCATTAGTGTCTTCTGAAATGATGTGTATCATACGTTAAATGGATTACTCTGTATAGTGTATATAGGTATATTAAATTTATTCAAAACAATAAACATACAAGAACTTGATTTGGCGCTGATTTATGATCTACATCATATTGAACTATGAATTGGCCTTTAACACCTCGTTCCGTAAATATTATCTGATCTTTAACAGTTGGACTCCATGTTATCGTCACTTTGTTGCCTGACTCATGGGTAATTTTTGCCAATTTGTTTTCTGTAATACATTATTATTATTAACTCATTAAAATAACATCAAAGTACATAGGTAATGCTCATGACTTATAATTCATAAAAAAAGATAAAATATTTCTAATTTGGTACAATAATATGAGTTTATGATAATCATAAATCATTGTGAAATTTATTAAAGTTATGTGTTGATTCACAAGACATTGTGAAAAGCTATGTGTCTATTAAAATAAAACATATTTTATTCTTTGCATTTTTTTGTTGGCTATAATTAGTTATCTAAATCAGAAATTATTGTTGAGTCGATGATTAAAAAAGGATTTAGGTACGTTCATCAAATAGTTAACTAATTATACACGTACTAATAATTTTAGTTTCAATTTCATTTGCTGTTTTTATGTCTGGCACTTCCAATTTTGTTATGTTTGAAGATTCTTCGATATCTACTATTACTTGCAAGTTTTTAACAACCTATAACAACAATAATTGCAGATAATATTAGAATTTCAACAGTTATAATGACTAATTGATAATTGTGTCTATAATCACTTGTCCGGGTTGTAAGTTTATTATATTTTCATAAATTCCCAATTTCCTGTTTAACAATTGTTCGTAAGTGAGATTAAACGTTACTTTGCTTTCTGCTTCCACGTTTACAGAAACCGTAAACTTATTTGAATCTCTTGCACTAGGTATGGATAAAACAATTAGGTATTAGTTGTTGACATTTAAGTTTAGAAAAGATTTTAAATTTTAAGGTTACTACTGAACATACTTTTGCTCGACATGAGCCGCAGTCTGGCCCGAGTTAACAGCAGCAATATATTCTTCTTTGGCCTCTTTCTTTTCTTTTACGTAAGCTTCGTAAACTTTTTCGTTTATTTCCCTAAATCCAAAACAGTATCGATTATATGGAGCCCACGATCCAAAAATATATACGAATAAGAAACTTACATTAAAAACTTGGAAACAAATGCAGATTCTGGAAGAGTTACGTAGAACTGTACTTCATGGGAAGTATTTTTCTTGTTGGCCACGCGGCTAGATACAACAGTCTGTGCATATCTGTACTTGATTTTCGAATGGACGACGAAACTGTAAATGTCTCCATTTGTGGCCTGGACCCAAAATAAATAATAAATAATTGATCATTTATTTCGTTAATGTTTTGCATAAACAACAGTAAACAGTTCAAGGTTTTGCACTTTAGCTCATAAAATCAGTTAATAAACAATATGCAATCATGTAGGAAGTATAATAAAGATAATAAAAAAACTGGTATACACTAGGCATGACTCTGAAAAAACAGGGAGGGTAGGATATAATATTAAATATGTTGGTTTAATTAATTAGGTGTAATAATAGTTATTTTGGTCTATGATTTTGGGACAATTTTGATTTCAAAATTTCATATTTTTATAAAACTAATACAATTCATCATACAACATCAAAAAATGCTAAAAAGATATTGCATAAAACCAGTCATTACTGAACATAGAATAAGTTTTTAAAATAAATTATACGTTCATTGACAAGCTAATATAGTGGACACTAGTATTAATAAGTTATTAACTAATAGATGCATTGATGCATAGACAATTTATGTTTCACATAAGACAATAACATATTATGTGTTATGTGATACTTAAATTCACCATGCATACGGACATAAATGTCATAAGTTGTCTTTATTCTTTAATCTAAATTTTGTATATCAACTAATCTTTATTACATAATATTAAATAATGTGTTTGAACGATCTTTATTGCAAGTTGTTTACGACAATAAATATTCTATAATAGTAGACGAGTAAAAGATAGGAGAATAGAAAAAAATTTATCTTACGATGTCATTAGCACTGGACTGCTCTGCAGCTAACACCAGTAACAACAGCAGAGCAGCGATGAAAGAGCAAGCGTGCAGCGCTGAATACATCGAGACGGACAACATATTGTTGCGTCGGGCGTTTAATTTCGAATGCACTCGGCCTGAGTGACTGAGTAACTCGGTGACCAAGTATAAATACAGTGTTTATATACAGGGGCCTCGATCATTTGTTTTATCGCACAGTACATAATATTTTCCTGGCATACATCACGTGATCTAAAAACAGTTCAAACTGCTATTCCCCACCATCGGCGGGGATATATTTAACACGTATGAATGTATTATGATGCACTTCAATTCTCAATTATGTCCGCCAAAACTAGGGTTGGCAAAAACTCGGGCTTTATAGTTGGGTTTTATCGGGTTTTTTAAATAAAACCCCAAAAACCCGATGATTTTTAATATTAAAGTAATAATGGGCGGTTTTATCGGGTTTTTTCAGAAAAAACCCATCTGAAAAATCGGAATTTTTTCCTATGTATTAGCTGCACTGTTTTTTGATTTTTCCCTTATCTATTATTTTGCCCGTGTAGCGTCCTCTTAAAAAATTATTATTTATAGGTACCTATATAATACAATTATATATTTATATATCAGATATTTTTACATAAATAGGTATAACAATTTACAAATATTTTTACATAAATAGGAATATAATACATTTTACAGATATTTTTACATAAATAGGTATGACAATTTACAAATATTTTTACATAAATAGGAATATAATGTGCACAATATTATTACCACAATTTCACTAGGAACTTTCCGTTCCATTCTTTGTTAAATTTTTATAATGATTGTGCACAGTAAGTTTATTGTGCTATTAATTATATCTCGCATATATTGCTTTTGGCTAACATGTGTATCAGTCACTATCAGACGAATTTGCAATGTGTATTGCATTTGGTGGTTCTGATCCTTTGTCAAAAAACTTATCTAGAGCTGACAAAACATACAAATATGCTTCTCTTATGGCTGACGCTGCTTTGAAATTTACATTATGTGTCGTAATATTATTGTTGAACAATGTCATGTTTTCTAAGTACTCAACTTGATATTTCAGACTACGTATGTCTAATTTTAACTGGTTGATTTGTTCCTTTAATAGAAAAAAATATTATAATTTGTACGTGTGTAAAGTAACATTATATTTATTACTAGCTGAACCCGTAAACTTCCTAGCCCGTTAAAAATCCTACCTCTAACTAATAAATATCTTTTGTCCCATTTTCTAAACTCAGTACTTACTGTTTGCTTTGTACTTTTTAGTTCGGACTGCGTAAGATGACGTGCATGGCTGCACATTACAGAATGTAATGATACCGTCATTATGATGAAGAATAGACAAATCTTCATTTTGCTATTGAAATATGACTTTTTTTTTTTTGATCGGTTGAATTAAATGTTCGTCTTCAATCTAAAAGAAACTACGTAATCAGTAATACATTGAGTAATTGAATTGGTAAAATTAAAATAAATCATAATATCTATCTTATTGATATAATGTATGTATATGGCATGATACCATATATATACCATGATACTTCTAAGCGTATGGTATACTGGTATAGTAGATTGAAGTATAATTTTCAAGGTGTGGGTAATGGAGGTATATTAGTTTATTATTTTTATTTATAATATTTATTTATAGATCATAAGGGGAATAAAAGGAGTGGTATGTGATTGGGAAGGGGTATAAAATGTATAGGACACGTGATGGAGAAAGACACGGTATGGCATAACATTGCGTGGCGTTGCATGAAATGGCATGGAGGGGAATGGCAGCGCGCGGGTAAGATGGGATGGGAGGTACGTATGTGATAGGTATGGTGAGAGGGTAAGGTTGGGTATGTATGTGATAGCGATGTATGGGAGAGGAGTGGTAAGGTGGTATGTATTAGGTATCGATGAGAGGGGAGGGTACGGTGTGGTATGTATAATGAGGTGATCTGATATGTATGTGTTAGGATGGGAGGGGTAAGGTCGGTCACGTGCTTGATAGCTATGGAGAGGGTAAGGTTTGGTATGTATGTGATAGGTATGGGTGGGAGGGGTGAGGGAAAGACCTCCACGTTCGTGTTGGATGGGAGGGGGAAAGGCCGGATATGCATGGTGATAGGTGTGGATGGGAGGGGTGAGGTAAGGTCGGGTACGTAGCCGATAGCAGGGTATGGTCGGCACGTATGTGATAGGTATATATGGGAGGGGAGGGTATGTCTGGACATGTACGTAATAGGATGGTAGGGGTAAGGCCGGTAACGTACGTGATAGAGATGGATGGGAGGGGAAGGGGTAAGATCGCAAACGTTCGTGATAAATAAGGAAAGAAGGGGTAAAGGCCGAGCACGTTCAAGATAGATAAGGGAGGGGAGGGGTAAGGTCGGGCACGTGCTTGATAGGAGGGGAGGGGGATGCTCGCGTACGTGCGCGACTATAGGCTGGACGGGGTAATAGGATTTGTGGGATTTGCGGAATTTGCAGGGGATACAGAACATAGGTACTAAAACACACTACTTACTTGAAGACTATATTTTCAAATACTTGGAATATATTTTACCACTTAAAGATGATCCTATGAAAGTATGAAAATACAAACTTCTGTATTTAAAATAGGAACTCCCTTTTTCACTTTTAATTATTAAGCAGACTATTTTTAGATTCTGAGGGGAGTGATAAGTTCTTTGATTTTACAATGATGTGTTTTTAATTTTTTAATTATTTTTTCATTTGTGTCAGTATTTTGTTCAATGGGAAAGAAAAGTTATTTTCCCAGTATTTTTAAGGGGATTGGAAGCGGCGATTTTCTGTCTTTGTCTAACACACGTGCAACATAAGATTATAGACTTGTTCTATTTCCAACGTACCGATTAATCTAGTGAAGCGATAAGAATTCTGTAAACAGATTTGGATTTGTCGTAAAGTCTACTTGAGATCGACTTCCCCACATTTTTGATATTATCTCCCAAAAACCATAAAAATGATATATTAAAAAGAGTAATTAAAAAATTGCCATATTTCAATTTTTGGAGAAGTTTTAATCAAAATATCAAAAATTTTGGAAAGTCGATCTCAAGTAGACTTGACGACAAATTCAAATCTGTTTTCAGAATTCTTATCGCTTCACTAGATTAATCGGTTCGTTGGAAATACAACACGTCTTTAATCCTATGTTGCACGTGTGTTAGACAAAGACAGAAAATCGCCGCTTCCAATCCCCTTAAATGCGCCGGGAAAAATAAATTAAGTAGAAACGGGACATTTTATGTTAAATGTGTTCTCGATAAAATCGATTTTGGTTTTGGTGTAATTCTAAAATAAATTACCTCAAATACATGAAATTTTCATTGAATGTTTATATTAGCATTTGTTATACACCCTATACAATGTTTAAAATATTTTGACTTGTTTTGAGCTGTTTAGGGACATTTTCAATTTTAATATTTCATAGTTTCTTATTCTATGTCAATAATATTTTATTTATTTGCTAAAAAAGCGTGAAAATGTAATACAAGGCTCCTGATGTATTGTTACATTAGCAGTTGAACCATATTGAAAATAGTAAATACGCATGCACACATTATTTTTATAGGTATTTAAAGTTCAAATTTTAACAAATTGATCCAATTTACAATGATTTTGTAGTTAAAAATGTATAAAATGTTCAACTTTTATAGCTAAGGATTAACAATTTAAAACAAGGTTCCAAGTAAATAATTAAATAAATTACTTTATTCACAATAATATTATTAAGAAAAGGGGGTAAGTGGATTTCACTCTGCTGTACAGTAGATTACAAGCGGGTAAATGTATAATGAATTGCATAAACTTGAATTCAATGATATAGTATCATTGTATAAGAAAAACGATTCTGAGCGGAGACGGTTTATCAGTCTGGATTTTTTAAATTTTTATTATTTATTATAGTCTAAGTTGAATTAATATTATCATTTTTAATTTGTTGCTACGGTGATAAACAAATCGTTAGAAATTAAAATCCCATTTTAAGCAGTTTTTCGTAATTTTGCAGTAGTTTTTCCCGTGACATTAAATAACTTTTGAGAAAATCTAAAAATGACCTCTCTAAAGTACCATCTTGATCCCTTGAACCACTCCTTCTGGTAGAAATTTTGTATACAAGGTATACAAAATAAACACCATTGTAATACCACTAGCTTTCTCGCTCCGATCAGAATCGAAAATACTTAGTAGTTAGTAATATATTATCATATAGACTGACTGGCCGTCTTCTCTCAGAATCCTTTTTCGTATACAATGATATTATATCATTGAATTCAAATTTAACACCATCTATTACAGTGACCCACTTGTAACCTAATGCTAGAGCGACACCTACATGCCTATTTTCAGGTATGATATCTATAATAATCTATGATAATCTATTATCTGTAATATCTTCAATGCTCAGGTCATAGCCCATAGCTATATTGTTCAACATAATATAACTGGATGCATGTTATTTCAGAGATGGTATTCGTCAGTGAAAATTTGTCAACCAGGAATTACATAGGTATTATATTAAGCAATGTGAAATGTGTTAAAGTTGTTTAGAAGACTAAGGTTTATAGCAGATTTTGATTCGTACTTGGGGTATATATTTCTATACAGTATAGAACTATACTTAAGGTACAAAGAAAACTAGTTTATTATTGGATATCCAGTTCCCATGGTACTTAGCTTAATGTAGAGTAATTGACACCATTGAAAGCTTTTTTTTGTGTCCGTGTATCAACACGATTCACGACCACTATTTGAGTCGTCCATCAAATCTGTACAGTATAATAATAAATTAGTAACAGTAGGTTTAGAAGATCTGAACCCTCGTTTATTATTTACAAGAATTGGACTAGGTAAGTAAATATAAAAGTTTTGGTTCAAATAATTTAGGTAATACACTTAATCTCAATATCGGTCTATAATTAAGTATAATTTATCTCGATACCTATTTATTAACTATGTATATGTAACTAGTTTTCCAATTAGTAGGAAAAATACTGAAATATAAGGATAAGGAAAATTGAAAATTAATTCATCACGTGAAG